CGCGTACCCCTGGAATCCGAACGTTAGCGGTGCAGGGGTTATTAAAAGAAATCACCAATTCCTCAAAATGGGGTTGTAAGAAGAACAAGTTAAAAAGTAATCGTAAACGATTTACATAAAGCGCATTTCCACTTGCATTCATTTCCCATTTGTAAGATGCAACTTCTGTTAAAATCGTAGAAATCCGGCCACAAATATGAAAGATAGCCGTTGCACATGGGCAATCCATTTTTGACGTGCTACTTCAATTTCAGTTTATAAGAATTTCATTTCAATGCTTTTCTAAATAAGAAAGTTGGAACTGCGCATGCGCAAACCTAAATTTTGAAACTAATGTTAGATTTTCCTTTGTTCCAAGCGCCTAAGTATCAAATTTCAGTTAAATGCTTCCATAGATAAAAAAGTTGGCACTGCGCATGCGCAGAATAAAATCTTGAAACTGGCGCTAGATTTTCCTTTATTCCAAGTGCCTATGTATCACATTTCATTTAAATTCTTTCATAAATAAAAAAGTTGGCACTGCGCATGCGCAAAACCAAATTTTGAAATTGGCGTTTGATTTTCCTTTATTCCAAGTGCCTATGTATCAAATTTCATTCAAATACTTTTATAACTAAAAAAGTTTGCAATTCGGTTTATAAATGGTCGAGATGCGAAAAGGGCACTGTGAATTTTGAATCGATTCGATTCAACTTTTGGCATTGCGTATTATATGGCTAAAGCTATGCCCATATTGAATTTCATGCAATTCAGTTCATAACTAACGGAGATGTAAAAGCGATCGAACATTTCTACACAAAGTTATCCTTCACACGGACAGATAGATGGACAGACAGACAAAGGAACAGACGGACAGACCAACCGGCAGGCGACAGATAGCAATGCAAAATTATAAACGCTCTCTAGGATCGTTAATAAACGGCAAAAGTGTAAAATTATGTAACATGTAAAAAACGGTTTTTCGTTTTTTTACAATAACTTTTTTTGTAAGCGGTACAGAAAAAATTCCTTCCTTGGTACAAGACTCGACACCATAACGAACCAAATAGCGAAAAAAGTAGAACAATAGCTCTTAAGATTAAGAACTAGTAGCGTCGCAAAACGAGCGGACGGACGGACGGACGGACGGGCAAAGCGGCCACAATAGCGCGTTTTTTTTAATTTTTGTGGAAATGCGCTAAAAATGCTGACAGGGACTTTTTTAGAACTGTAATTATGTAATTTATTATATTGCATTCGTGTACATACAAGTTTCAGTATAGTGAATATTCCTTCAGAGTTCAGGTGGTTATTCACATGAAATAAAATATCAAATAGCGGAGTAAATGGTCCTTTATCTTCCCGTATAATATCCTGAAAAAGGACTGCAATAAATTTACAAACTGTTTCATTGTAATTGATGCTACAAGTTGCCCTAAAAATGTCTAGACAATTTCTCATAATTTCATTCTGACACAATGAAACTACTTTATCTACCCTTCACGTTACTGTAATACTCTATCTACCTTTGCGCATAGAATGACACCTAAAGCTGTGGCATAAGAAAAACCTGTAAATTCATTGCAAAGCAATTAGGGCTTCCATAGTGATACTTATGATGATAAAAGACATCACCATCTTGTGCAATTAGTGTAGGCATACAGACTGAACGTAGAGACTTTCGGCAGAAATCAAGCTCTTTACTTGCAAATCGACATGATTCTTGCACGTCCTCCCCATTTCCGTAATTTATTCCCGTAATACACAAATTTTATTAAACGCAGATATACGAGCTTCGCGTGCTTATTATCTAATGTATATATATCAGACATTTCATCGTTAATACCTACCCATGTATGGAAGTCCCACGGGGGAGACTCGTTCTCGGTTCGGATGAAAATTCCAACCCGGTACAAATTGCATTGTCGAAAATACGCGAAAGACGGATAATATTACTAAAAATTCCGAATCTGACGGACTTTAATGAAATTTTAATTAATTTACTCGGGCAAACGCTGAAACTGGAACTAGGGATTTTCTTACACGGCGGCGAGGTGAATGCTCATATTACTATTCATTATTATACTAAGGCGTTTTTGGGATTTTGTGACCGGTCTCGTTTACAATACGTTTCGTTTATTAAATTAAATTCCATATAACGGCAGTTATTTACTATTCTAGGGTTTAATAGTGGTCCTTTTCGTTCATTTTATTTCTGAGGGACGCTGTTATTACATTTTTGTATTCACGAGGATGCGTACTGTTGGCTTAGTATTTGTAAGCGTCACGGAATAATTTAAACAGTACGCGACCAAAATTCAGACCCTTGTTTGAAGTATGTACTTATACCGTTTTTATAACTGCAGATTCGTGAGCGTTTCACCTGGCTTAAGATCGTAAAAAGTACACATAAATACTATAATAATGCACCATTTACACTAAGCGAAGTCGGAATAAAAAATTCGACTAGGCAACACATTCAGTTACTTACACAGGGAACGTTTGTTGTTGTTTGAGCAGGACTGAAATTGCTAGAATATAGTTTATAAATGAGTAGTTTTGCTATTACGCAAAACTAAAAAAGCTTATGTTTTGCCCACCTGGAATACGACCGAAGCCAAACTTTTATGCCTCTTTTGTAGGGCCTGGGAGTTGTTTGTGACTTTACAGTTAAGGGCAATTTGTTATATAACTTAATAGACAAAAATTCGCGATTTCTATAACCAACTCATTTTCGAACCACCGGATGAATTGCGCTAATGAAAACTAATTGGAACTAAAATTCAAGAACGACTCTTTAAAATTGCTCGAAGAAAAAATTGTCTCAGATCGACCCGGAAAAAAAATTTTCTTATAGAACGTAGCCTGTAGAATCCATAATTTCAAACAGTTCCAAGATTGGGCTACTAGATCAAAAGTTACAGCCCTTTGAATTTTCTTTCGAAATTGGTCTATAACTTTTGATTGAGAAGTGTAATCGAAAAAGTACGAATTCATTAGGATTCTACGCACCAAAATTAATAAGAAAAAGTATTTTCCCGAGAAATCTTGGTGAAGTCGATTTTTGGTAAAAAAGGAAGGTTGTACACTGCCTTTTTTGAGGCACGAAAAAAAATTGTCTCAGATCGACCCGGAAAAAAATTTTCTTATAGAATGTGGCCTGTAGAATCCAATATTTCAAACAGTTCCCAGATTGGGCTATTGGTTCAAAAGTTACAGCCCTTTGAATTTTCTTTCGAAATTGGTTTTGATTGAGAAGTGTAATCGAAAAAGTACGAATTGATTAGGATTCTACGCACCAAAATTAATAAGAAAAAATGTTTTCCCCAGAAATTTTGGTGCAGTCGATTTTTGGTAAAAAAGGAAGGTTTGTACACTGCCTTTTTTTGAGGCACGAAAAAAAATTGTCTCAGATCGACCCGGAAAAAAATTTTCTTATAGAATGTGGCCTGTAGAATCCAATATTTCAAACAGTTCCCAGATTGGGCTATTGGTTCAAAAGTTACAGCCCTTTGAATTTTCTTTCGAAATTGGTCTATAACTTTTGATTGAGAAGTGTAATCGATAAAGTACGAATTGATTAGGATTCTACGCACCAAAATTAATAAGAAAAAATGTTTTCCCCAGAAATTTTGGTGCAGTCGATTTTTGGTAAAAAAGGAAGATTGTACACTGCCTTTTTTTGAGGCACGAAAAAAAATTGTCTCAGATCGACCCGGAAAAAAATTTTCTTATACAATGTGGCCTGTAGAATCCAATATTTCCAACAGTTCCCAGATTGGGCTATTGGTTCAAAAGTTAGAGCCCTTTGAATTTTCTTTCGAAATTAGTCTATAACTTTTGATTGAGAAGTCTAATCGAAAAAGTACGAATTCATTAGGATTCTACGCACCAAAATTAATAAGAAAAAGTATTTTCCCGAGAAATCTTGGTGCAGTCGATTTTTGGTAAAAAAGGAAGGTTATACACTGCCTTTTTTTGAGGCTCGAAAAAAAATTGTCTCAGATCGACCCGGAAAAAAAAATTTTCTTATAGAATGTGGCCTGTAGAATCCATAATTTCAAACAGTTCCAAGATTGGGCTACTAGTTCAAAAGTTACAGCCCTTTGAATTTTCTTTCGAAATTGGTCTATAACTTTTGATTGAGAAGTCTAATCGAAAAAGTACGAATTCATTAGGATTCTACGCACCAAAATTAATAAGAAAAAGTATTTTCCCGAGAAATCTTGGTGCAGTCGATTTTTGGTAAAAAATTCGCAATTTCTATAATCAACGCATTTTCGAACCACCGGATGAATTGCGATAAAGAAAACGATGAAGGGGAAATCAGTGAAAAAATTTACCAGAAAGATTTCCTAATTGGAACTAAAATTCAAGAACGACTCTTTAAAATTGAGTTCATGTCAATGCTCGTTTCTTTGGCCAACACAAATTTGCACTCGCCTGGAGAATTCATTACCGAAACCTGCACTTCAACGTTAATCGCCAAAAACGTCCATGTCCAATAGCTGTTGTGGTAGACTATTTCATATCGTTGAGTTTAAGAATGCATCCACGAAGTCACCTGTTAACTACCCCAGAGTATTGAGTCAACTGATTATCTGTAAGAACTCCAGGTTTCTACATCAAGGAAAAATCGCCCAGGAAAAGTTCGTTATAAAATTGTTGTAGAATTTTTGTAAACTTACATCGATAGCTTTACGATCCATTACTCAAAAAAGAAGCAATCTTGACCGATCATAAAGTTGTGGAAAATTATTGTTTTGTCTATTTGTATTCTTATTGAAAGACCCCTGAACTTGTGACCAGTCTTTTCAGACTTTTTAGCTTGCGGAATCAAATCGTAAAGAATCCCTTTGTAGTAACCATTTTAGCTACAGAAGGTCTCGTAAGCAAACTAAGAAAGTAGAAAGGTAATAAGTAAATATAGAGAACCACAGAGCCGTCATAATTAACTATTATTTTCATATTATTATGATACAGATTTCTGGTTGCAACTTCCCCCTAAGAAAAAAGCAAGGTAATTTGTCAATAAGTTTATTGGAGTAAATGTAAAATGTAAAATTTATAATAGTAACCCCGTCCTCTGAACAAAAAATATGATGTTCCTCAAAAAAATGCTTGCTATGTAAACCAACCGCTACATTAAAGCACAAAAAGGCTCTGCGACGGTCTAATTAAAAAAAAACTTTGTACCCCATTTACATTTCAATTTTATTACAAACCGGCACGCAAAATACCATTATTCCTAACGCAATTTGTTATCCTGCACACGCCTGTTAAAATTGTCTTCGATATTGACGTCAGCACCGTGCATAACTAAATAATTAAATACGTCGAGATGGCCATTGTCCTTCGCTAAATGTAGAGGGGTATATCCGTCCCCATTTCGCAAGTTTATATCGGCGTTATTACTTAATAAACTTTCAACCACGGCGAAATTTCCTTTGCTTGCCGCTCGATGTAGGGGCGAATCCCCATTCGAAGTCTGAATATTAATTGAAGCACCTTGAGAAAATAACTTTTTCGCGAATTTCATATCGGAGGCCAAATGAAGTGGCGCGTAGCCGTCTTTGTCGGTCGAGTTAACCGAAGCGCCCTTCTCTAGAAGATACTGAAAAATTTCGAAGGATTCGCCCTCGACGGCATGATGCAGGGGCGTCTCTCCATTATTATTTTTGCCGTTAACCGCGATGCCGATTTTAATTAACTCCCTCGCAATCGACGCTTGTTGCTGTAAAACGGCATTGTGCAATATAGGTTGCCGACGATCGTGGTGGAGGAGGGAATCGATCGCCGCTCCATTTCTCATTAATAATTTTGCGACTTCTAAGTTTCCTCTCAAAAATGCCGTCGTTAGGGGCGTCTGTCCGGCTTTGTTACGGTAGTTTACGTCACTTCCATTTTCGATCAGTAACTTGACAATTTCTGTTTGTATGCCTACTTCTAGCGCAACATGTAACAAATTGGATCCCTCTCGATTAGCAAACTTTGTCTTCGCGCCACTCTTGATTAATTCCCTAATTGCGAAATCGTTGCCTCGCCGCACGGCTTTAAATAAAGGCGACTCGCCGGAAAAATCCAGCAGGTCTGGATCTGCTCCAGATTTTACTAGAACATCCACGGATTTATTATTATTATTTTCGAGAGCTACGTGAAAAGCGGTTTTTCCGATTCGATTAACTGCATTCACATTTGCGCCGTTTTCTATTACCTTCTCTAAAAGATTGGAATTTTTTTCAGCCAGAATGTGTATTAGACCGTCACCTTTTTCGTTGCGTGCGTTGATATCGTATCCGAACAATGCAATACTGTTAAGAAGCACATCCAGGATGTTCCATTTTTCGTGTTTCGCTATATTAAGTAGTTCATTATCGCACATTATCGACGTGAAATTTAGTTCAAACTACACAGAAAAAACTTCTGGGTTATCTTTTATCTATACACGGTTTTTGATAACAGACTGATAGTGGAAAGTGGGAAAAACTAGAATAATGCATTGTCAATTTGACATCTAATCCTATCATCTTTGAATCTGTAACTTCCTAAATGGATTAGTAGATCTAGTCTAGATAAACGTGTACCAAAATTTTGAGTTAGATCTATAAATTAATTTAAAAAATAGCTATTATGCCCCTTTCATGCCTACGTATGAACCTTTGAACTTGTTTACAGATCTGATTTGCATTTATGCATTTATCACAAATTTGTGCGTAATTAAACAGTACATTTTAAAATCCTACAACTGTCAAAGGGTGGATTATACAGGGTGTTCCTAAATATAATGCTTATTTTATGATTTAAGTTCATATAAACGTCCGCAAAGGCTTCGTTATCGATTTACAGGGTGTTATCATTTCACGATTTATTCAGTTTTTTCGTGCAGGTTTTGAGATATTAAGCTCAATCGTAGTTTTTTCAGGGGTCGTGTTCCATTTCCTACCCCTAAATTTTTTCGTATCTGCGACCAATTAAAAACTTTGATGGCAATAGCCGCAAAGAGTAACTAAGTATTCTAAGATATAGATGCAAATTATAAATTGGTACACAAGTGAGAACAGTTTTAGGAGAGTTCGGGACTTATTTGCAATATGTATTGAATAGATTAAATTAGTAAAATACCAGATGCACATAACCTACAAGTAATTGAAGGTTGGTTCACAATGAAATGTGAGATCAGCTCGTGCCTTGTGAGATCAAGTTTAAGAAAAATTCTTTTTTAAAAAAAACTTTACCGGGTGCTATTCATCATCAAGACTAGAAACCGTTGGTGTTTATAATTACGCAAGTTGCGCGTTTTCGTTTTGCTGGTACGAACCTGAACATCGAAATATCGAAAATCGAACATAGGGAAATTACATTGCTTACAAAGTCGTATGTTCGCATTAAAAAAAATGGTTTCTAGTTTATAACTTTTGATTGAGAAGTCTAATTGAAAAAGTACGAATTATTTTGGATTCTACGCCCCAAAATTAATAAGAAAAAGTGTTTTCCCGAGAAATTTTGGTGTAGTCGATTTTTGGTAACAAAGGAAGGTTACTCTGCCTTTTTTTGAGGCGGGAAAAAAAATTGTCTCAGATCGACCCGGAAAAAACATTTTCTTATAGATTTTGCCCTGTAGAATCCATAATTTCAAACAGTTCCAAGATTGGGCTACTAGTTCTAAAGTTACAGCCCTTTGAATTTTTTGTCGAAATTGGTTTCTAGTTTATAACTTTTGATTGAGAAGTCTAATCGAAAAAGTACGAATTGTTTTGGATTCTACGCCACAAAATTAATAAGAAAAAGTGTTTTCCCGAGAAATTTTGGTGTAGTCAATTTTTGGTAAAAAAGGAAGGTTTATTTATAGGTATAATAATGTTTATTTATCCTGTTTCGACATAGAGATGTATAGGACAGAGTCAAACATGAGTAAGTACAAACATACAATAAAACAATGAAACAAACACAGAGATACAATTAACGGTTTGCTACGTACCGAGATGCACCAGGATCATTTAAGAGTTCTTCAACATTATAGAACATCTTGTCTAAAAGGAAACTGACTAGATTGCGTTTGAACGTATGGAAGTTATTGGACGTTTTAATGGTAAATGGCAGGCTATTGAACATTTTAGCTCCTATAGGGACTGGACTGATTGACATTAGTTCTTCCTCGTGGCACTCTGAGGTCATTAGTATTTCTTGTGTGGTATTTGTGTATGTCACAATTATGTAGAAGTTGAAGTTTATTTTTAAATATAATTTTACACACTTCCAGGATATATAGGCAGGGTAGTGGGAGTATGCGGAGCTTGGTAAAGTTTGGTCTGCAGGGTTGTGTATAGTTTGCACCACATATGCATCTAACGATTCTCTTCTGTGTGACAAAAACTTGATTGAAGGTGGATGACCGACACTAAAGGCACAAACCATACCTGAGCCGCGATTCAATGCAGGCAAAGTAGAACATCCGAAGCTGTTTCACATCTAGATAGTACCTAAGGTAGCGTACTCGATAACATTCAGTATTTAATTGTTTAATTAAGTTTTCGTTGTGGGATGTCCAGCTTAGAGTGTCATCCAGCACGACGCCCAAAAATTTTACTGTAGATGATTTTTCTAAATTAGCATCATTAACAGAAATATTAATGTCAAGAGTATTAGTATTTTGATAATTGTGAAATTGTAAAAATTTCGTTTTGCTATGATTTAAGAATAATAGATTATTCTCAAACCATCTAGATAAATTTTCAATTGTTAATATACATGTTGCTCGTAATTCATTTTCATCCGGGTGTGAAACAACCACGGCCGGGTCGTCCGCATATAGTGAAAGAGTTGCATCAACCGGGATGCAGCTCAGAACATCGTTTGTAAATAGTGTAAAGAGGATCGGTGCTAAAATGCTCCCTTGGGGTGTACCCACGTTTAGCTTTATGATGTCTGAATTAATGTTAGTGGTGTATCCCTTATTACTATGTCGCAATGAGACATACTGCGTTCGATTTTGTAGAAACTTTTCCAGCCAATTCAGGGCAGTGCCTCTGACGCCGTAGCAAGACAATTTCTGTAACAGTAGATTATGGTTGACACAGTCAAATGTTTTCGTGATATCGCAATATATCCCAATAGGCAGTTCTTTTTTTCCTATCGACTGAAGCACTGTATCGTAGAAGAAAAGAATTGCATCAGTTGTGGATTTATTAGGTCTAAAGCCAAACTGGTTAGGTATTAATATTTTACATTTTTCAATAAATCTTTCTAGTCTATCCAAAAAGCAATACTCAAAAATTTTTGTGAAGACGGATGTTATAGAGATAGGTCTAAAATTGTTTGGAGTGTATTTACTCCCCTTTTTGTGAACTGGGATAGTTTTTGCCAGTTTAAGGGCTTCTGGAAACGCGCCAGTTAAAAAGGATACATTAATTAAAAATGTTAAGGGCCTCACAATTACGTGAGAGATTATACGAACCAAAAAAACAAGGAAAGTCGTCAGGTCCTGCCGATCTTTTGCTTTTTATTTTGTTATTGATTAACTGGATTAGTTCCTGTTCACAGAAAGGGTATAGATACATTGTTCTCTGGTTAGTATTAGTGCTTAAAGTGGTAGGATCGTTATTTTTTATTGAGTGTATCGTGTCCAGGGGAGCGTTTCTGAAATGATTATTAAAAAGATTGGCTACCTCCAGGGGATCATCAATGTGCCGCGTATTTTCCATTAGTTTATAGTTTTGAGTGTCTTTTTGGACCTTATTGTTGTTAATAAACGACCACGTACTTTTGCCGATATTATCTGAGCTTAGAATTTTGTGCTGTATGTTAGTTTTACGTGTAGTGGAGACAAGAGAAAAATGTTCTTTCTTTTTCTTTAAGTAGAACGTTTTTAAAATGGGATATTTTTTTTGTAATGCGCATAAGGATTTCAAATTAGCAGCAGAAACTCTCACCTCATTGGTCACCCACCCTTTTTTACTGTTAGTGCTGGTCACATCTTGAATCGGAAAAAGGAAGTTGAAGTGATACATGATCGTATTATTGAATGCATTGAATGCCACGTCTAACTCCTCAGCAGTGATAACTGAAAGTCAATTTTCGTTACTTACTCACCTATTTGATTTTTAGTAAAGATCCTGGTGCGTCTTCGGGGGCGCTTAACATATGTGGTGCCCTTTATATTGGAGTTAAGTAGTATAGTAAAATGATCGCATATAATATTTTCATCTACTACATAATTCACCGGCTCAAGACTAGTGAAGATGTGATCTAGAATTTTATCTCCTCTGGTGGGCATTTTCACTAGACTATACATATTGTATGAAATTAGTAAATTACATAACATATTGAACAGTCGAGTGTCTCGTGTGGGATCAACATTCAGGTCCCCTGATAATATAAAGTGGCTCTTTTGATCGAACAAACTATTTAACACAGCATTTAGTTTAAAATAGAATTCGTTAAAATCGCCTGTGGGCGACCTGTAACAAGATAGAATAATAATTTTGGTGTTTCCGTTTACGCCAGTCTTTGTATTCCATGCAATACCACATATTTCGAATGTTTTTTCGATGCAGTACGAATGTAGGTTTATGGGGGTTATGTCGACATTTTCACGGCACCAAATTCCCACGCCACCGCCTTTATGGGTTGATCTGGAGTAGTGTGATGCTTTTTTGAAACCAGGGAAATACACATTTCCGACGTTATCGTTGTTGCACCAGGTTTCTGTAAGACACAGAAAGTTTAGATGATATTGGTTGCATATATGTATTCATATGAAATGTAATTGACTTTATCCTCCGACAGTGATCGACAGTTCATTGATAGAAAATCAAACTTGCCCACATCAACTAGTTCACAGTTTTCACCTGTCTTTTGATGGCTTCCACAGAATTTACGCGATAGCCTATACTTGTCAAACTTTGGTATATTTTGTGTTATGGAACAGTTGGGGGTGGCGTACGCCGAAGAAAAAAACGACTGACTCTGCTTCCATATGGCCATTGCTCCACAGACATTGCTTTCTCTAAATTTTGAAAATCAATTGTAACTTTAAATGACGCGTAATGCGTTTCATAGGTTGTTTTTACTTGCTCGCAGATTACCTCCGGGAATTGATTTATAAGATAATTTTGCAGATTTTCGCTGGTTGTGTCCGTATGCAATCTAGACACAAACAGATATGCTTTCTTCGGGGCAACCCTTATGGTAGGATTTCCATCGGTTGGACATTGCTTCGTGCCGAAGATGAAGTTTTTGTCCTGTTGCCTAGGTTTCTTGGACTTTTTCACTACTGTGGACCAGGTACTTTCGGTAGTTAACGGTTCACTTTGGTCAGAGCCTTCTGAGGTAGCAGGATGGAACGGAAGAGCTGGACGCTCAGTTGCCTCCTTCTGCTGTGGCTTTCCAGTGGTTGATTTCTTATTTCTCGAGAATGCAGCGGCATTTTCTGACGAAAGAGGCGATTTTGTTATGTTGTCCGGAGCGGCGATTGACGTTATCGGGACATTGTTAGATACAGATTGACCTGCATTATTACGTTTGTTCAAGGACGAGATATACAAACATTTCTCCTCAAGTAACTTAATTTTGTCATTTAATATGCCAATTATTGTATTTTTGTCATTGATATTACTAGATTTTAGGTACTCTACCTCACTTACAGATTTGTTCGGCAAGATGTTGACACCAGTTGCACTGACACAACACTTTATGTTATCGGCATCAATCACTGATACATTCTCTAATTTGCTTTTTGCGCAGCTATCATGGTAAACGTTTTCACAATTTATGCACCTGACCCTTTTTTTGGTTGCATTTTTATTACAAACCGACCAAATAGCAGGAGCGTTTACGCACTCGTCTACACCGTCCACCATGACTACCATGTACTACCATAATTTTGCGGTTTATTAACAATTTGAAGGTTTTTGGAGGAGCTAAAAGATGACAAAAAAATATACAGGGTGTTCCATTTAAACAAAGTGAGATTTCTTAATGTGAAGTTTTGTAACTTTGGACCTACAAAAAAACACCTTGTCAGCTATTTTTTTTAATGTTTTATAGTCAATGTATTGATTTGACTTTTACTTTACCCAGGATAAAAGATATAGAACCTGGACTCAAAATTTATAAGTAATAATTTTGACAATATACTGCCCAATTTTTCTTACACATCGAATTATTTTTAAAACTACTACTTACTACTTTTTCGGATATTAAAACCATATAATAAAAAAGTCGTACAATTACACCTAGAATTCAAAAATGTATTCAAATACAGGGGGTTCCATTTAAAAATGTACCATTTTAGCGCCCTACTTTGTGAGCGCACCCTGTATAATTCCAAATATTTTTAAAATGTGGAGAATATTCTACCATATCATAATACAAAAGCACTCTATCGAAAAATCTTCAAGGCAGTAAGTTACTCCGCGCAATCGTTGACTCACCCTGTACATTTTTTTTAGAATCGGCGTACTTAATTGTAACTGTGGAGCAGCGATTAGTAATATTAATTTAATATCCGATCTACACCATACACAAAACTAGATTGTATTGCCTCCTAAGACTCTTGAAAGTGCAATTCTCGACTTCTATGTTGTAATTTAATTAGAGTAATTATGAAACTCATCTAAGATGCGCTATATTTTTATGCAAAGTTTTTATACTTAGTTATTAAACCATTAACGTTTACTGCAGAGTACGGCTATAAACATTAGAGTTGTTTGCTCTATACTTTATTTAATCTTCAAAATGTGAAGGGTTATGTCCATAAATTTAAGCCCTCAGATATTATTCCGTGACGCCCCATTTTGAATTTAATTCAGGAAATAGGATATCGATGCAGCAAAATTGTAAACAAACGAAGGTAATGAGAGGAAATCAAATGTAATCTAATCCAAATAATCGGAAAACAATGGAAATAGAGATCTTTCCTGCGTTACTAACGATTCAACCTTTGTGTGCCAAATTTGACTTTAAAACCGTATCGAGTGATTTCTGAAATAGGAGTAACAAAGTGCTGCAGCCTGTCCTTGTATAGGATCTAAGGAAAAATGGTATAATTGTGTCTTTCCAACAGTTGCAATGGTTGGAAATTAGTTCCCTCCCAATCGCGTCTAAAAACTTTTTCAATTAAATTTTGGCGAAACGTCCCTTAGAAAAATTTATTTTTTAAGACACCTCTTACAGTTTTTTATTTAGTTGATTACTTATGGAGGAAACTCGACAGAAGTTTATTTCGGTTTCAGTGGAATCGGTCAGCTTTCAGCTCTCTTTTTTTTACAATTTGAGAGGAGGAATATTTCCGTTAAAAGAAACGCACGGTTTACTACATACATATATTATACGTATCGATTGACATCAGTAGATGCGGAGCATATGATTGCTTTTATAAAGGAAATGAAATTGAATTCCTGCAGGAAAACCCGGATGATAATCATAACCAGGATATCGTCTATTTTGTAATGAAGTATGCTTTTTTATAGCGTTTATAGGTTTCCCGTCACATTTCTATTTTAACCTCTGACTCGTAAAGCTCAGTCCCTGTAGGAGACATAAGCTTTTTAGAGTTGAGCGAATTTGTTCACCTTGGAAACAACTTCGATGCCTTCCAGAGAGATGTCCAGATTTCATTTGGAATTTGAAATTTGGAAATGCAATTGGAATTTAGCTTACATTGTAAATAAAATGGCTTTTTAAAAGAGTGGATTGTTACACAGGAATGTGGTATAGGGATTTAAAATTCCACTATTTAATATATTGCATTTTGTTTGTTAAAGTGCTGCTATTTTTTATTCATTGAGCAAATGGCAGGTAAGTGACGTTCAGGCCATGCGACCATTATTCTTTCTGTAAATGGAAAAAGTTGGCTAAAAGTTTGACGTCTAAGTGTTTGCCACGATTACGACTTTAGTATACAGACTCTGGGGTTTAACTGCTTGCATAAACTTTGTTGCATTTACTCGGTGCTCAAAAGTGAGCTTCTTTTGGAAAAGGTTGGCATAGCTACCTATGCATGAAACTGTATTTGAAATAAACTAAAATGTAGGTACCTTTTCTTTTATAACGAGTTCGGTGGTTACCGAAGAAGTATCTATTAGTCAATTTTTTCATAATAACGTACAATTTGCGGCATGTAGTCATAAAAATGTGGAATGCAGCGAGTATTGATTTTATTCATTTTTGTATTCCAACACACAAGCCGCGAATTTAAAATTTAGTGGGTAGAAATATCGCAATCCAATCCCGCATACCTGCTACTTCCTTACAGTCGTACAAATAAGCATAATATCCAGGATAATCAGAGACTATAATTGGAAAGGCTCGAGTGCAGATGTTACTGGGTTTATTATTTAATTAATTTTGCTAAACTTCACACCGTCACGTTTCTAATTGCCTTGTTATTGCGGTTTTTTAACTTCATTATACAACTGAAATGGCGTTTTTGTGACCTTTGATGTAAAAGAAGTAAAGTGATCTTCCCTACGCCCGTTTTGGACAGTAATATTTAATCAGACCGTTCTGGTCTGTTTGAAATACATACGACCCTCTTCCAGAAACCTATTCAAGTTTAAAATTCATCTGTCGGATTTTAGCGAGTCGGTGCTCGTCTGCTCTTTCCCACACCATAAAAATCTTTTCCAAAATTATGAATAAATATCAGAAAATCCCTTTATATTATTGACGAATCAAACGTTTAACCGGACATTACGGAAATTGTGTGTGCGAGTGTGTTTTGTGATTCCATTGTGATTCCCGTTTCAGCTTCTAGTTTAATTCTATAGGGACTCAAATTATCATCTTTTGAGAATATTTCGACTAAATTCGAGGCTCACAAATATCTACAGCGATGAAATTCAAACTTTACGAAAGTCTGTGAAAGAGAGAAGGGTCATTTGATTTGTTCTTATTAATGTTCACATTAACGTCAAAGTTTAACAGAATTTTCCCTTACGCGAAGGGTTTACGGAATTTCAAACTACTTGACTCCATTCAGATTTCAAGATCTAACATACAAATTTCAGAACTCTGTAAAAACATTTTTAAATTCCAAATTTGTAGGCTTTAAATCGGAAATTGAGTATAGTACCTATCCCAAACTAGCGTATTATTTCTACGCACTGCCTGTGCAATTCCACTCAACTTCAAGCGAAATTTGTCTATTTTGGGAACAAAATTGCGTGAAACTCCTGCCTCATTAAATTACGCATTTTACCATTTTTTATTTGAAAATATTTAATTCGAAATTCTTTTGTTCGTCGCTAGTGAGTTTTAACAAGGGTGGGGGATGTTGAATCCTTATTACCACTTTTATTGTCGTTCCCGAGGATAATACGTCATATTCTTGTACTAGCACTAGCAGGAATAGAATGCGTCTCTCGAATTTGTACTATAACCACATTTTGATAAGCATATACCTAATATCAAAGGCTATCAGACAACTTTTGGTAACATTTTGCGACTTCGTATGATACATGAACGCTTTGGGCCAGGGGGTAAACACCAGGGGAAGTAATTGTACAGAATGGAGGAAGTCATGAGGAAGTACAGGGAAGTTCGGGGAAGTACGGGGAAGTTCGGGGAATTACTGGAAGTCCAGGGAAGTACGGGGAAGTTCGAGGAAGTACTCATTTGTTCATAAGATGCGTAATGTGACCGGAGAGGAAAAATCTGGTAAACACTTGAAAAGCCTTGTTCCAAAAAAGTGGACACCTATGATCGTGATTATCTATATAGATACCTAAAATCAAAACCTATTTTTTCACTACTAGTGTCTAAGTGGTTAATAATGACCACATTAGTAGTAATCAATAATGAGAACCGTCACGCTGTCACTTTTAGAAATCACAACCCGAAATTTCGCTCAATAAACGTTCAGATAAGTTCTCTAAAATGAATAATTGCCACCATTCGCCATTTCAAGAGGAATTACATACTTACAATTATCACATTTTGAAAAAATTTGAACGAAATTACTTTTTGAAAATATCTCAATAACAGAAGAAAATACGGCCTTCTTGACTGTTACTTCCACCCACGTAATTGACATGTTAAATTAATTAATCAAAAATTCTGTTCAACAGTTCCAAGATTGGGCTACTAGATCAAAAGTTACAGCCCTTTGAATTTTCTTTCGAAATTGGTTTTTAGTCCATAACTTTTGATTGAGAAGTCTAATCGAAAAAGTACGATCGTTTTGGATTCTACGCACCAAAATTAATAAGAAAAAGTGTCTTCCCGAGAAATTTTGGTGTAGTCGATTTTTGGTAAAAAGGAAGGTTATACACTGCCTTTTTTTGAGGCCCCAAAAAAATTTGTCTCAGATCGACCGGAAAAAAACATTTTCTTATAGAATATGGCCTGTAGATTCCATAATTTCAAACAGTTCCAAGATTGGGCTACTAGATCAAAAGTTACAGCCCTTTGAATTTTCTTTCGAAATTGGTTTTTAGTCCATAACTTTTGATTGAGAACTCTAATCGAAAAAGTAGGAATCGTTTTGGATTCTACGCACCAAAATTAATAAGAAAAAGTGTCTTCCCGAGAAATTTTGGTGTAGTCGATTTTTGGTAAAAAGGAAGGTTATACACTGCCTTTTTTTGAGGCCCCAAAAAAATTTGTCTCAGATCGACCGGAAAAAAACATTTTCTTATAGAATATGGCCTGTAGATTCCATAATTTCAAACGGTTCCAAGATTGGGCTACTAGATCCAAAGTTACAGCCCTTTGAATTTTCTTTCGAAATTGGTTTTTAGTCCATAACTTTTGATTGAGAAGTCTAATCGAAAAAGTACGATTCGATTTGG